CTTGATTTTAGTTTTTTTTCTCTAAACTATTATTGTTTAGTGTCAATAATATTAAGTAAACTTACTATAAATTCTGTAAAGTTTACTCAACATTATTAAATACGAATCTGATATATTTATGAAATTTTTAAACCCAAAAATTGTTCGCGTTGAATATAAATGCGTGAAAAAAAAGCGAAAGAACATTTTGCGGATAAAAATGAGAAGTTAGATTTTTAAAATTGAATTATAAGTGGGATTTCTTAGGACTTTTTTTTTTTTCAATTTAATATTTTTATTGCGATACTAACCTATATGCATTACACGTAAAAATAGTTAGGAAGAAGTTGTGACCTGAATTTTTTTTTCATCCACTTATTCCCATAAACAACAATTATTGCTGATTTGTGCGTCTTATCGAATGACCACTAATCAAAACGGTTCTTTCTTTTCAATTTTTAATCATATTAATAGACGATTAGACAATGACAATCTTCATCTAATCCTGTAAAATTTTATATCTTCTTTTAGTCATTTCTAAGTTTTACTGTTTACTTTATAGAACAGTTTTCTACTGTTGATAACTGCATTGCAATGGACTTTAAACTATCAAAACTATCATAAACTGATTGTTTAAAATTGCTTCCGCTAAAATGATTTTCAACTGAATCCTCGTATAACGCTCTAATAAAATCGTTTTGTTCCAATTTTTATTCATTAATTTCTTTGACATAACATCAAAAACAAAAGAAATTTTTTTAGGAGGAAAATAGCAATTTATTTTTTGTCATCTTTTTATTTGCTAACTCTTTATTATCTTAGTCACCTAATTTATGTTGTCAGAATATTCCTAACTTGTTTTATTTTTTTATTATGTAGATAACAATTGACTACGGTGCTGTTTGACATAGGACTAATACTGCTAATTACTGAAGGCAGAATTAGAGTAAAAAAAGCTGATTGTCATATCTGTTTTTGAAGAGAGTTGGCATCTATTGTACGCTCTATCAAGATTATTTGGTTAGGTAGACTTGTAAGATAAGAAAATTTAAAAAAAAAATGCTAAAAGAAGAATAAGTACTTGAAGGAAATGAATTTTTTTTGGAAAATATTTCACATATTTACAGTGGCTGATACACTGATCCGTCTTTTGTTTGTTTGATCCATTGAGAATCCAAGGTTGCACTTTGCAATCATTAACATCTTCACCTTGCACCTGTACAAAAGAAGAGGTGGGGAATGAAAAAAAAGAACAAGTGTCAACTTTCATTTTGTGCTAAAAATGGTCTGCACCGTTTTATCGGTGACATTCTGTATTCCCGTTTTGGTGTCCATACAGACTGCTGCACCACACATGTTTCCTGAAAGTTAATCTCGTCCTCAGTAAGGTGTTTGTGCCGGTAGTAAAAATGAAATAAGAAAGTACTTTTTTGTATGACTATTTATTAATTTTAATTTACGCTGAATTTAAGCGAATATTTAAACGCAGACGTTTTTTTAGCTGTTAATATAAAGTCTTTTACACATATCACTTTGATTAAGTTAGTTATTCAAATAAACAAAACTTTAACGTTTTCCTCAAAATTTTTCTTTGTTTTATTTCCGGTGCACAATTCTTTTTTGTTTTCCTATTCAGTGTGAACGCTAAATATCGTACGGAAACACGAACTTAATTACTGTTTTTGGATAAAATTTGTTTGAAGCGGCGACGATGTTTTATCTTTTTGTCTTAAAGATCCATGTTTTTTAGGCCACTCGTTTCCTTCCTTCCTAAGTGACAACAATACCAACACAGTTCTATTTGTTCGATACGGTTAGAGCTCCTTAAAATTTTTTTGGGATATGTAATTGCGTTATTGACCTTCTTGTATAACATCAATTTTTTTCGCCAGGCCGTTTGACAGCAAATTGCTCATCATAGTTGGGCATCTTTAATAAATTTTTAAAGGTGATACTGATCTTTGAAAAAAATGTATACTGGATATAGACTTCTAAAAATAACAAGGAATTTTTGTTGAAAGGAACTGGAAATGACTAAAGCCGGAAAAAAATATTTTTTTAAAGTTGGTTCTTAACAGAAAGAAGGTGTATTTTGGAAGAACCATTAACTTGGTAATTGTTTTCTTTCTTGAGAAGCCTTCTGATTTTCGTTTTGCAAACATCTGTAAGAAAATTAAAAGTGCCTTATGTTTCTTATTCGTCAGAGGCCTGCTTTTCCTTAAAAAGAAGATTTAGGTAACGATGTGGAAGAATTCAATATTCTTCTTACTGTTGTCTCTCTCTGCAACATCAACGGTTTCCGGACAACAGCGACGAGTGATTGATCCAATTCGCAATGCTCTTGGCTTTTGGAGCCGTCTGCTTAATCGTATGGCACAGCCACGGTTACCATCCGACGATGAACTAAGGTTTACAATAGACGATTTTGACTTAGATAAGTTAGAAAAACTTTTACGACATGGAACTGAAGGACACATTGGGGGACAATTAGTCGATAAACAGAAAGTTCAGCAGCTTCTTGCACCGTTGAATGGTGTGACACCAAAACCTGCAACATCTGCTGCTCCACCAAATTCCACCACTATAAAGGAGTCATCAGTTAATGCAGTAAAGCACAAGAAGACCCCAAACGTTCCCGAAGGTATACCTGAAGCTGATGAATTTAACAGTACAAACGCCGAAATGCTCTTGCAGCTGGCCAGAAAGGAATTAGATGAAATAAAACTTGAAGAAGAAAAAAGTAATAATCAAACTGAACTAAGTAAGACAACAACATCCGTAACATTATCGACGACAACTGTGCCTAACACTGTAACAAATGCTACCTTGAACATGCCTCAATCAACAGTGCCTCAAAATGCTCAGAACGGAAGTACAGAGAATCATCCTGTTTCTGCACTGAACAGTAACGATATTTCTGAGGACAAGAAAACAGTGTTGGCTGCTTCCTCAGATGGAAATAACGTTGCTGATGAAGAAACAGAGGAAAATCTTTATTTTGAAAAAGAACTGCGCGCGCGAATGAAACATTTTGAAGAGGTAGAAAATGCATTGCTGAGTGAATTAGGAAGTGGTGAAGAACCCGAGAGCACTTCTAAAAAGGACGGAATTCTGGAGGCGGATCCGTTGCCAGAAATCACTGCAAAGTTGTCTCTTGACTCAAAACCAAGTATGGAAAATGGAAAAACTGCAAATGAAAATGTTCAATTAGAAAAAAAATCTGATTCTGAAAACCAACAAGGAAAAAAGAGTGGGGAGAATGAAGGAATTGAAAGAAAGAGCTTTGAAATAAAGAAGTCCGATGAAACTGGAGAGGAATCTGGGAATAAAATTGCAGAGAATGAGAATAACGCTAAAAGTACCATAATAAACGTTGGTAGCCAGATTAAAACACCTCCTGCGCAGGAGTTTCCAGACGGAGAAGAAGAAGATCCAGTAGTAGAAGAAGGTAACATATTTGGCTTATTAATGCTGCCTGTGTTTTACTCATCTGTAAAATACTGCTCTTTTAACAGACAAATTGTTTGAGTAACTGGTTCGAGTTCATAAATGTATTTCAATTGTTTATTCCTCATCGAAATTAATCGTAGCTAAAGATGATTAGTACCATTTCGTGTAATCAAAAACTTCAAGAAACAGTTATTTTTAAAAAGAAACAAACAACTTTTTTTGTGCTTTTAGGGTTCAAAATTTCTTCATAACTTTCTAATGTCGTTTGAGGTTTGAAAAGTTTCGTGTTTTTTAACTAAAATTGCTCTTTAGAAGTTAATTCAAGAAAGATTAAAGAGAACTACTTGAAGGTACTACGACAAGCAAACTAACCGAAACGACGGCTACAACAACTACAGAAGTTCCAACGACAATTACAACACCTGACAAAACCACTACACTGCAGGCGACAACTTCAACGTCAACTACAGCATCTGAGAAAACCACTACACTGCAGGCGACAACTTCAACATCAACTACAACACTTGAAACCACTGTCCTCGTCAATAATGATGTTAACGAACGAAAACAGCCAACTTCTGAGATGAAAGACTTAACAGACGAGCATGCAGCATTAAAACCAGTTGAGAAGATTGTTGATGGTATAGGACCACTAATACTTCCGCTACTTGGATACGGACATGACGTCAGTTGTGAATGAGTATTTCAGACAGTAAAATTAATTAGTATTACAAAACGTTTTTTTCTTCAAAAAAGAAATTTACATTTTTTTTTTTATAATTATCGATGTTTAGGCTCCAAGAAAATATTATCCATATTTACAACATGGAGTTGAAAACAATTTTGTTCGACCAGAAGGTAAGTCGCGTAATGGGTTAGCAGATTTTAAGGCGATAGTTTCAGGTTTTAAAGAGACAAAAAACTGAACTTTGAGAGCGTAACAAAGCTTTATTTTACTGGACTGATAAACAAAATACTTTGGGTACATGGCAGTGCTTATTGAAAGATTTATTTATTTGTTAATACTGAGCGCTGATGGCTTAATTAACAAATCATTCTTTTGAAATCTCAGTTGATGTGCTTAAATTGATTATTTTTGTTTAATCTTTCGTACCCATCCAAAAAAAGAACTGTTCCACTGACCTGCTAAAGGTTGCTGTCAAAAAAAAATAATTTCTGAGTCACTGACCATTGATTTCTTATCTCTCCCACTTTTTAAAACCAATCTGTAGCCCCTAAAAGATCCAGAACACTTCCTAATGGAAAAGCTAGGCTACAGTTCATCTAGATAATGTTTTTTTATCACAGTCAAAAAACAGTTTTTTGATAATCGCTATCATTTTTGTTTACATTGGCTAATCCGATATACTACATGGGCAGTAAAGTTGTCCTAAAGACCATTAGCTACAGACATGCACTGCTAACTTTTTTTCTTTTAAGTTCTCTGTGTTAATTTTGCTTTAGAGTTATACAATTTGGGTCTTACCTGTCAGCTTTGTCTGGTGATATCACTTGGAAAATTTTTGTCTTCTAAGAGAACAATGAGCCTTTTCTACAACTTTAACTTGTAGATTCAGTACTTGAGAACTGAGATCACAGTTTTAAATCAAAAAGCAAGTTGAACTTATAAATCATGATCAGACTAAAGGGGAACTAGAAAATCGAAGACAGATGTATTTGTGCGCTTGAAAATTCGGAAATATGAAAGATGAAAATAGTGCAGCCGAAGACCTCCTCATTGTAGTTGGTTGGTACTGGTCAGTTTTCTTAAAACCGTCTTTAAGAACAAATAGAAAATTGTAGCTAACCATTTTTGGAAAATCTTGTTTTTTAGGAAACCTTGCTTTACTTCTAGTAAAAGGGAGAGGTAATAATAAGAATAAAAGTTTTTTAACCGTAAAATGTTCTAATTAAATTATGAGATTAAACTTCCCTACAAAGAATTAATTCACATTTTTTTGAATTTCATTAAATCTGCTGTTTTTAACGTTTTAAACTATTAATTTGCAATTTTCCTCATTGAAAACGAGAGTGCAGCAGTATGTTCTACACTGCAAAAATGTTGCACAACTTTCACTTTAACAGTCTGATACCAGAAATATCGCGCAGACAGCAGAACTATTGCAGTCTAAAATTTGCTTCTTGATATAGCTTCTTCTTTCAATTTTTGTCAATTACCAGCAAAAGGCAGCAATTTGACATTCACAACCTTTTACGTCCAAATAGTTCTCCCTGTTACACCAATCCTTAAAAATTCCAGTATTTTGCCACACTTTAAATTTAAATTCTTGTTCAGAATTTTTCTAGGTAGCTCTTTGATTAGTTTTCACCTTAGTGGTGTAAGTCTAGTATTAGTTATTGCCGCTAATTTTTGCTTGACTCACCAAAATAAAAATGCATGTCAGTAACTTGGATGACATGTGTCGCTGCATTAGTTTTCAAGAATGACGTCACTTCTGCTTGTCAAGCTAAAAAAACAATGACATTGGTATTAATGAAGACCAGTGTTTTGGGAATTGGAATTAAAAAATAATGTCATTAATATCTTAACGCTTTTTTTCAAATTTGGATAGCATTCAATTTTAAATCTTCATTTCTTGTTATTTTAGCTTTCTCTGACCCAAAATCTTTACCCGAAGATATAGTTGGTATGGGTGCAGCAATTGCTTCAGAATTGGCTCGAAGCTATGTGACTGATCACCTCGTAAATGTTGCTCAGGCCCGACACATAACATCACCAGTGTTAGCTAGTCTGCCCAACGCTGGAGTGGCGGCTGCCTCTCTCGCAAGACCGGTAATAGCGTCAGCGGGAAGAACATTCAATACAGGTGGCTTGTCTTCAGCAGTGGGCACCTCATATCCTGGGATACCTGTTTTTCGCAATCGTTACGAGCAATATATTCCGCCACAAACGTACCGCCAGAACAGTATCTCAGATTCCACAACAACATATCACTGGCCAAGCATGATGGCTTCGGATCAGAGAGTGATTCGTGTGCCGCAAAGATCTCTCGCTAATTCTCCTTCTCGTGTGGGCAATGGATATATACCTTCGTCAAGGTCCAATGCAGCAGTGCTAAATTTGCGTCGTCCAGAAACGGTTACTTCTATCGGTAAAGTAGATTATACTAGAACGCAAGAACCAGTTGGTGCTGAACGAAAATATCAGCACGAATATATGAAAAACCAACAAACTGCTAAAAGTATGGGTAGCATTCCATTCCATAAACGGTATGTCCCAAATCCATCGCAGTTTCGTCAAAAGGTTATGTTACCTTTCCAAGCGCCTACACCTAGCTTTTCATCGCCAGCATACTCGCCTATGATGCCCGTACATGATTCTGCTAACGCTTTGTATAACGGTAATTATAATTTAAATAATGGTTTCCCACAATTACAAAGTCCAACCGTGCTCAGAAGCGACAAGCCGATCCCACTGATTGACCCACCACAGGACGGTCTATTGTCGCCAAGGATGGCTGAAAAGATAGCTGCCAGTGTTGCTGCAGCGTTACCTGGTTATACTGATATTTATGAAGCAAGCGGCAGGACTGAGAGCAGAACTCCAGAAAAAAGTTTGTTGTTTTTTTCTTTTTTGTTTTAAAATAATCTACCTTTTTCAAATCAGATTCACTCCGTTTTTGACGTCTTTTCGTACTTATTACACTCATTAGTTTCTTTACGACTTTAAGATTTTAGAGTATACCACTAATGTGGGCTATATCTATAAATAGACAAAACGGAAAGTTTATGGAAGGTGAGCTAAAAAAGTAGGAAATCTTTCAACGGGTTTAGGTACTGTGGCAGTTTTTTATTATTGTGTTTTTCAAAGTCTCATTTGAGTACACTTGTTATCTTTTTCATTCTCCGCTTTTTTAGTCTGCTTTACTCTTTTCTGATGGTTTGTGATGAAGCACTACTGTTTTTTTGTCTGATAAAGTGCTTTACATTATTAAATCTTAAAATTTTGATAGCGATTTTAGCGATTAGAGTTATTTATGGGCTACATGGCCAATTTGGCTAAGTCTTGTTGTCAATTAGCTTTTTTTTTTTTTCAAAAACAGTCGCTCATAAAAGACAATACGTTGATCGGACAACCAAAATGATCAGACAACGTTCTTCTCCTCAGTTAGTGGTGCGAGGTAGCAAAGAACAGTAGTCGACTAACAAGTATTTTGTACTCTGCTTGTCCACTTTACATTACGGCAATTGGCGTGTATATTTTTAATAGGAACACAATCTTATTGAGTAATTTTACTGCAGATGATGAAACAGTGCAAGAATTCGGTAAAAAAAGCGTTTTTCTTGGAGATTCTGGCATAATGGCAGGAACACCAAACAGTGGACCAACTGACGGCTTTCCGGAAAGTCTTTTTTCGCTGAAGGGCAATTCGATTTCAATATCCGGAAACAATGCAGATCCTAAGTTACGCTTGTAGTAGAGCGGGTTTATACAGTTGCTCATTTCCTTTAATTGGTAGGGAACGAAAAGGTTTTAACTAAGAAATCTAGAATTCTTGTGGGGTACTGAAGCGCTGCATACTGTTGTGAGCTGTTGCCATCTACTGTTAATATACCAAAGATATATGCCATTTTTTTCACTTGTTATTCTGAAACGTATAGAAATGCTCTTTTTTTCTTCATACAAAAAGATGGCTGGTAAAAGCAAATCCGTAGTGTGTTTGAAGCTGTTACTGAAATTAAGGTATCACATCCCGTTGATAGTGCGAAAATCAACTTAAATTTTCTCAATTTCAAAAGTGGATACAAAAATGCATCCGTCTTCTTCTTTTGTTTGAAGAATGTTATAGTTTAGGAAAATACCACTATGAATTTGAAGAATTTTGTTGCTAATAATGTAATAATAATTAAGCATCTTTACAAGTTTGCAACAAATCACTTTATTTTGCTTTTCTACCTTTACTTCAAACTATTGCTGCGGATGTCAGCTGCAAAACTGTAATTCAGATTACGTACTTTTGAAACCGATAAAAAAAAGTTTGTTTTGCATGATAAAAGAGCTTTGCGGCTGATATTCATCACTATAGTGCTCAATTAAAAATAAAAAAAGATGGGAGCTTATGCGGGGCGAACTTGTAGAGAATTATCTCAAGTTTACGTAGACTTCGGTAAACTTGAAGATTAAGCATTTTTGCTCCCAATATATATCAAACCACTGCTAATGGTCATCAAGTTTTTTTGCACATATATGTAAAATGTCGTGTCTTGTTCGTCGTTGTATGTACATAGTATTCGTTGTTAAGTTTAATAAATGGAAATATTTAGTGTTCATTTTCCGGGCTCCTCTGTTTCATCTGGCCTTCTGTGCAGTTGTGATCAAGTGGGCAGTCGCCTTGCCAAACGCTGAATCCCGCATGCTAATTTTTTTTTCCAGACTCGATGCTTTTTCTTTAAAAAATGATTTCTACCTAAAACCTCATTTTAGAAACTTAAGCCAACAAGCTCGAGTTTTTTCTGGTTCTACAAAAAGAAATAAATTCTAGAGAAATCAGAGAAATACGGTTTTTAACAAAGTTAATCTTTCTAGAAATCCACTCGGTGATCTAGTTTACGTTTGATTACAGCGCTCTATTTTTAAACAAGTGACAGTAGTGTACATAGTGACGATGTGACCATCCTTTCTTCAGCTAACAAGACGCTTTCTTACAATTTATACTCTGGTTTTTCACTGGTTCTTTTGTTAATAAGATTAATATTGTCATTAATCAGTAGCATAAGTTATATGCTCATGATACCAGGAAGCCAAAACGAAACTACGTAGTCAATTCAGCAAATTAAGATTTTTACTAAACTAGAGAGTTAATTCGATCTTTTGCACAAATTTATTGAGGACGATACGTAACAAGTAAAACCCATACAGAGGAAAAGCATCGTTGTTAACTTTCAACTATCTTTACTATTACTGCTCTTAAAAAAGTCACCACTACATACAATAACTTTTATTTTTTTCCACTTGAGTACTAAAGTCGCACAGTTACTTTTTATCCACCCACAAATGAAGTTGAAAAAAA